ACCTTCAGATCCAGCCACTCCGAAAATTACACCTGCCAAACCTGGCCTCCCACCTGGGTCTCCCACCTGGCCTCCCACCTGTGTTCTTCCTGGCCTGAGCCTGAACTTCTCAGGGCACCTCAGGAGATGGTCTAGCCCTCACCCTCCCGGCATCTGTCTCCCATGGCTGTTTCTCACCCAGTCTCTGTGCTAGGGTAATATTTCAATCCTGGAGTGAAACTATGGTCTAGCTGTACTGTGGCAATCAACCCCTTTCCAGAATGACACCTGATTAAACTCTTTCTGGCAGTATGATGGGACTGCACTGGATTTCTTCCCACACTCTATCCCAACCATGAAGAAGTCACTCCCCGGTAAAACCCCACGCTGCTTTTTTAGTTTATATCAGCTGTGGGCTTTTCTTAGCGCTAACCACTGCTGGCTCATCCGTTATTTCTACCTGAAGTGGAGCCTCTTCTAAGTTTACATCTTCTCTGGGATGTTGGACTTGTCCTCGCTCTACCAGGCGGGTTGTTTGACAGTAACCTGTGTGGCCCTTTGCTGAGAGCAACCAGTATACAGAACCAGCTAGGAGTTGGCAGCTTGACGCCCCTACTGTGTGGGGGTTGTCCTTGCCAGAAATATTTCTTTACCTAAAAAATCCGAAAACAGAAACAAGGGGCAGGAAAAAGATGAATCCTTAGGCGAAGAAAGAAAAAGACTTGCGGTACAGGATACCAATGCTGATGCCAAAATGAAGGATTCTAAAGGGTCAAAATTGCTGGGAGAAACTGAAAGGGGCACTATGCTAGCTGTCTTCGTAACAGTAGGACAAGTCACATCCAGGCAGTACCCTCAGGTAGCGTCAGAGACTGCAGTGGCAGCAGGAACCCCTGTGTGGCCACCCCACCACCACACACACGCCCCGTCTGCACGGCTCCTGGTGGTGATCCTAGAACAGGGCCATCCCAGAAGGTAGAGATACAAAACAGAAAACTAAGAACTATTGTGCTTCACTTGTTAAACCAAATAAGCATTGTCTACCAGGAATTTATAATATTAATGTGACCATGTTGGTCTCCATGGAAAATAACCTCTTTCAAGCAACTAAGAAATGAAAGGAATACTTCAGAAAGGACATGCGTTTTCCTGAACTAACTCATCAATTATCTTTCTGAACTGGGAATCCTGGAAGACATAACTTCTAGGCTAATAAAGAAAGAGAGCAAAAAATCTTTCTGAATCTCAACTACCTTCTCGGCCTGCCATTGACTGGTGTGCCCCAAGTACGATGCTACACCAGGTATCAGGATCTCCCCTGTCAGGTGACTTGAATGGAAGGGATTGGCCTCAGGTAGAACCCCAGGCCTGAGGATGACTCCGGTTCTGAAGAGGGTGCTATACTTGATATGACATCCACTGGCAACACGAGCGCTGATATTTTAGGAGAGATTCGTGGTTTTGATTATTTCCTTCTGAACAGCCTGCTTTCTCTAGAAAAGGTTTTGCACAGAAGGGAACGAGAAAGGCTTCTGATTGTTTCAGAGGAAGATTGAATAAGTGCCCCTTCTCAGCTTTCCAGGCTGTTGCTACTATTTCAAGATGTATCTAGTGAAAGAACAGTGATATGGTTCTTGCTACATGAATCTGTATTTGCTGCTGGTAGGTTGTATATTTAAAGTGATCCAGGAAAAAGAGAAAATATATTATTATAATATGTATAATAATTTTAGGATATTATTATAAATATGTAATAGAAAGAAATATATAAAAATACTGCTAGGTCTTCTAAACTTCTGAGGGCTCAGCCAGCCCAGCACCCCAAGGCAGGCTGAGTTCCATGCTACAAGACCCAAGTTATGAGGCCAGACCCTGCACCTGACATGTTTGTAGCTATATCAAATAACTACCAGCCCGGCACACAGTAGGCGTGGAATAAGTGTATGTGAAGTTCACTTGACCTGCAATCAGTTCTCAGCAACTCCACTTACCGGCTCTGTGACCTTGGGTAACTCACTTCACCTAAGACTTCCTTTCCTCATCTGTAAAATGGGACCAATGACAGCAGCCTCTAATTCACAAGAATGTTTTGAGACTTAGATGAAATGGTGTGCATGAAACACTTAGCACAGAGGCTGGGACACAGTAGAAAGACCACAAGTTCACTGAATCATCTTTTTTTTTTGTACCAGGAATCCAACACAGGAGCTCATGCTTGCCAGGCAGGCGCTGTGCCACTGAGCCATATCCCCGGCCCTGAATCATTCATTGCTTTTGCGCTGAACACTTGATCTAACATGTTAATTCTTCCACCTATCCTCCGAGGTGTTTACTAGAAGTTGAAGTTCATGAGGCAACTTGTCCAAAGTTAGTGGTTCATAGATGGCAGCTAAGACTTGAAGCCAGGAGTTACTGTCCTAACCACCAGCCCCACCAGTGTACAGCTGGTAATGTGCTCTGCTAACCCTTTCATATTCCCAGCCTGAGACAGAACATCCAGACAGACTCGCTTACGAGCCATGTGACTGTGGGCAAGCGACTTTGCCACTCCATACCTCAGTATCTTCCCCCTGCAAAGTGGGAAGGTGGATAAGCCCTACATCTTGGAGCTATGGGTCCTAGTTACGAAGTACTGGAAGGGCTCCATGGTGTCTGGTCTTTTGCAAGTCTTCAGTACGCGGTGGCAATGGCAGTGATGATAGACGTAACCGTGATGGTGATGTGCCTCAGCTACCCTTTCCTTCTTGCAGCTGACACAATGCGTGTGGTGGTGATTGGAGCAGGGGTCATCGGGCTGTCTACCGCCCTCTGCATCTATGAGCGCTACCACTCAGTTCTGCAGCCGCTGGACCTGAAGGTCTACGCAGACCGCTTCACTCCCCTCACCAACACTGATGTGGCTGCCGGCCTCTGGCAGCCCTATCTCTCTAGTCCCAGCAACCCACGGGAGATGTAAGTGAGGGTCTCACAGGGCAGTCTGGGGGGCGTAGGGGGATGGGACGGCAGAGGGGGCACTCTCCATCACCACCCTTGTTCTCCTCACCAAGAATGAGTCCCTGTGGAAGCCTGGGCACAATATAAAGAAAATACCAATGAACCGGATGGCGGCACATACGTGGTCTTAGCTATTGGGGAGGCTGAGACAGGAGGATGCTTGAGCCTAGGAGTTCATGACCAATATGGTCAATATGGCAAGATCCCTATTTCAAGAAAAATTTTTTTAAAAAGCTAGACTGAACCAGGTGCATCACAAACTCTAAAGTCAGGTCAAAGCCTTCATTAAAATTCATCAGCGACCTGAGCCCAAGCTGGACAAGCACTCCGGGGGTCGTGATGAGACACGTTTGGCCTCCTTGTTCTCCATCTTATGAATGGGGAAATGTTGGGCAGTTTTTGTTTGAATGTTTTTGTGGGATAGGGGGGAGCTATAAGCATGGTGGGCATTGCAGGAGGGAACATACTGGATGTCTGGGTCTAGGACATGGCCCCACCAGCCTAGTCAGATCTCTTGCCTGCTAACCTGAAGGTTGTTGTCCAGCTCGGGGCATTAGGTGACCAGGATTCTGGGTGACCCTTTCAGGGAGTGGAACCAGCAGACCTTCGACTATCTTCTGAGCCACATCCATTCTCCCAACTCTGAGAAAATGGGCCTGGCCCTGATCTCAGGCTACAACCTCTTCCACGAAGCTGTTCCGGTGAGTGAAGAGTCCTTGACCTTGAAGTAGGGCTGGGGCCCTGCGCCTGTGGATACTTTCAATACTATAGGCAACAGACTCCTGGTTTCCAATTAGGCTCACTTCATCACTTCATTTTATGGCCTTTTATTTTTGGAGAGGCAAGGACAAGGTCTTGTTATATTGATCAGGCTGGTCTCAAACTCCTAGGCTCAGAGAGCCTCCTGTCTCAGCCTTCCATGTACTGGGGCCTACAGCTGTAGGCCACTCTGCCTGGCTAAAACTAATTTTTAAAGGCCCAACTAAAGAGGAAGGGAGGAGAGGGGAAGGGGAAATAAAAATAATTAAGATATGTACATGTACCAACTCCCTATGAGGAATGAAATCATTATATAGTACAAACATGTGCAAATAAAAAATTAAAAAAGAAAAAAAGCTCAACTAGAATTTTTTTTTTTTTTTTGGTTTTTCTCCGGTACCGGGAACCGAACTCACGACCTTGGGCTTGCCAGGCAGGCGCTTTTGCCGCTGAGCTAAATCCCCAGCCCCTCAACTAGAATTTAAAGTGAAACTAGCCAGGTGTGACAGCATACATCTACAGTTCTAGCTACTCAGTAGGCTGAAGCAGAAGGATCAGTTGAGACCAGGTGTTCCAGGCCAGGCTGGGCAACATAGCAGGAACTCATGTCTTAAATATATATAGGAAAAAAAATATATATATATACATATAATTAAATTGGAGAATAAAAAAAAAACACCTTCTGATGGACAGGTAGATCTAGCAGCCTTGGATTGGTATGAGCAAAATTCTTACCTGTTCTGCGGTGGTGAGTGCTTTATACGACCCCAGAAGCTGTCAAGCCTCCCTGGAGATCTGAGGGTGTGTCTCCAAGATGGAACCAATTGCTTGTGACACCAAAATGGTGCCAACCTTTGTCCTAATACAACAACAGGGACTCATTTAATTCTTACAATAGCCAAGAAGTGAGTTATCCATTAGGGAAGTAAGTTATCCATAAGTGCCACCATTACCTTCATTTTATAGCTGAGAAAGCAGAGCCCTATAACAATGGAATAACTCACCTACAGCCACAGAGGCAGTGCTGGACCTGGGTGCAGTCATGCACTCCTGTAATCCCAGCACTCTGAGGCTGAGGCAAGATTGCCAAATTCAGTTCTACCCTGGGTAACTTAGTGACTGAGTAAGACTGTCTCAATTTAAAAAAATAAGAGCTGGGATGTAGCTTGGTGGTAGGGCACCCCTGGGTTCAATCCTGTTTTAAAAACAAAAACAGCTGGGGATTTAGCTCAGCGGCACAGCACCTGCCAGGCAAGCATGAGGTCATAAGTTCGGTTTCCAGTAGGGGGTGGGGCGGGAAGCTAAGGCAGAGCTCAGATTTGAATCCAGACAATCTCTGAGTGCATGGTACCCACAAAGGAACAGCGCAGGCTTGAGAGGTGTTTTCAGGGTACCTGGAGGAGTGGCATAGCTCAGTGCCCCACTTCCTGTGCCACCTTATATGATTATTCAGTCTCTACCACTACGCTGAAATGTTGTCCACACTATCTGTCACCTTCCATGGGTCCAGGAGTGATTTTTTAACTCCTCAGGGCAGATAAGAAAACAGAGTCTCAGAGTTCACAGCAGGAAGTGGTGAGGTCAGGGTCTCCACGCAAGTTGTCTGACCCCCTCTACCCACTACTTTCTACTCTCATCATTCTGTGACTTGTACCATTGCCCTCATCCTCCCCTATTTCTAAACTTTACCCCATCTTTCACCCTGAGTCTTTCTCTCACTCTGAGTATAGCAGTTAAGAACATGGACTCTGGAGCCAAATCATGCGGGTTCAAATCTCAGCTCTCTTAAGTCTCAGTTGAGCCATCTGTAAAGTGGGAATAAGAATAGTATTTCCCTCAATGGCTTATTATGAAAAATTCAATAGATGCATGTGAGTTAAATGCATGGGACAGTGCCTTGCACACAGAAGCACCGTATACATTAGTGTTATTATCTTTATGACTGACTGCCACACATCCCTGTGCCTCTTCTCTCCTTCCTCTTCAGGACCCTTTCTGGAAGAACATAGTCCTGGGATTTCGGAAGCTGACTCCCAGAGAGCTGGATGCGTTTCCTGATTATAGGTGAGGTTATTGTCATGCACAAAGGGGCTGAGGTGCCACAATTCAGACAGAATTGTCCAGAAGGCAGAGGAGAATGGGGACACCAAATTTCCTGTCCCATCCAGCCTGAGGGCCCCTGGAATCATGGTCCCTGGTGTCTGTCCATGTGGGCTTTGGGTTGGGGAGGCAGAGGATATGAAATCCCAGATCTCAAGCCCAAAGACCACATGGATTAGTCAGCTTTGCATCACTGTAACAAAATACTGGACACGGGCTACTTGTGAAGTAAAGAGAATAAGGAGAGATTTGTTTTGGCTCACCGCTGTGGAGGTTGAAGTCCAGAGTCAGGCATCTCCATGGGTTTGGGTCATTGGCGAGGGTGGTACATCAATGCAGGAGCACGTGTTAAAGTTCACATTGTAAACTACGAAGCAGTGAGAGGGGATGGGTAGGTTCCCACACTCGCTCTGGAGGGAAGCACCCCCAGTGACCTGATGAGCTCTCACTGGGTCCCACTTCCTAAAGATTCCACCACTTCCTGATATTGGTGCATTGGGGGACCACACCTTTATATATAGACCTGTGGGGGATGTTCAGTATTGAAACCATAGCACTCCATATTACTGCCTTGCTTTGTAGATGGGGAAGTTGAGCTTCAGAGAGGTCAAATGACTTTCTGAGATCACACAGCCATGTGACCAAACTAGGATTCCAACCTAGTTTATGTGACTACAAACCCTTTTCTCTTTAGCCTGAGGTCTCTCTGGTCCTCTCTTCACCCATGTTAGAATCCCCTCTACAAATGCACATCCAGTTGCCATTTGCATTTCCCAATGCCAGGGCTGATTTTGTCTGATAGAAAACAGCTTGCACTGGGCTCAAAACTGCTCTTCCTCCCCTACCATGAGTATTACCCAGTGGTTCTGATATAGGACATATGACATAAGGATGATACATGGCCCTCCATATAATCTAACGGAAATATCATAACTCCTAACCTGCTAGCTGTCTGAAACGCTGAGTTTGTGTTCTCTAAAACTGAGCAATGAATTCTAGGAAAAACAGAGGTTAAGAGAGGAAGAATTTATTGAAAGAAAGATACCTTCCATCTAAAATAGACAGAAAGGGGACCAGAAAATGGGTTGCCTGATGACCCCTCTTCTCAAGGGTGTTTTATTGAGCAAAGCCATGAGGTGAGGCAGGTTCAAGTTGGGACAAAACTACAACCAACTAATAAGATTACAAGTATAGTCGCTTAGGTAATATTGATCAAATGGGGATCAGATGAGAAAACAAGCCACACAGCAAGCATACAAGGACTGAACAAGGATTTTCTGGGAAAGCATGGGCTGGGGAGGTTTTGGTTCCCTGCCCAAGGTGACTGATGCCTAATTAGAATATAAATCACTGCTGTTCATCCCTAGGGGAAGTTGTGGGCATAGTCCTTCCTCTTTCTGGAAGCCTGGTCTGCAGTGAATGTGTCTCTCAGCCACAACTGTCTTCTGTGCTGAGGGCCCAGCCCGGTCTGACTGCCTATAATATTTATAACCAACTTAAGTGCTACCATAGTTCTTGGTCTAGCTTTTGGGGACCTGTAGAACAGTACTGGCCCCCTCTCCACATGGCTGCCTTCAAAAATGTCTGATTGTAACCTTTATTGTTACCTTTCATCTGCTGTGACTGTAGCTATGGCTGGTTCCACACAAGCCTGATCATAGAGGGGAGGAGTTACTTGGAGTGGCTGACTGAGAGGTAAGATTTGAAGGTTCAGTGTGAGGAAGACACCTCCCAGGGACCAAGCTGTAGGAAGAGACCAGCCATGGGATTCCTCTTCTTTTGCCCAACCCCTAGGGTTGAAGAAAACCCTTAGGTGAGGCGTGGGAGCTATCCTGTTCCTGGTCCCCCCTGTGCACCAAGGCCATACTTCTTTCAGCTGGCTGGGCTTTACAGCCCCATGAGGGGCTTTTTACCTGTTATATTTGTTAGCAATCTTATGAAAATTCCTAATGTTTTTTTTTTTTTTGGCTTTTGGCTTTTTTCTGGTACTGGGAATCAAACTCACGACCTTGTACTTACCAGGCAAGCACTGTGCCACTGAGCTAAGTCCCCAGCACCCCCTAATGACTGTATAATTGTTTTAAATGGGTTCACTTAAATTTTCTAGATTATTGACATCATTTGCAGAACATAGTTATCCTTTATTTATCTCTGTCTCTCTTTTCATCTTTAATTGCTTTGGCCAGTACTCCTAGAACAATGATAACTCATCAGGTGATAATGGATGCCCTTGTCTTATGCTTGACATTAATAGAAATCTCATCATGTTGCAAATTAGACAAAACTAGCTTGAGGGAGATTTTGACATTATAGTCATATACAGTCAATCATATTGAGGAAGACTGCATATATTTTCTATATTTTACTACTTTAGTCATACTTAAAAAATATGGAATGAATGGAGACTTTTATCCAATGATCAAGGGAGATATTTTAAAATATAAATTTTAAGATTCCACTTCACCTTAGTGAATTAGAATCCCCTGGGAAGGTGTTCATTCAGAATTTTGAATTTAAGAAGTTCCCTGGAGGATTTTAGTATCATTGAGGCTTAGACATTGCTGTACTGATGTGCTCACTTCTCCTAATAAGTGTGGGACACTTATGGTTCTTATCCAGAGTCTTCTAGGAGAAAATGTTACCAATATTTTTTTTATCTTGAGGAAATTTCTAGATCAGACATTATACTTTAGCTTATCTATGTCAGCTTACTTCCTAGTCTTTTCTTTTTCTTTTTTT